CTGGGTAATTTTGATGTGTTGCAAAGTTGGTGGTTCTCAGTTACAGCTGCCTCAACTAAAAACATGTTTTTCTTGGTTCTCTGAGAGCTTAGGGCTGAATTTTGTGCTTGATTGCAGTGACTACATCACTACTACATTTTAACTATTTATGCCCTTTCATGTTCTTTCAAATTATTTGAGAAACTGTTTGCAAAATGTGTGTGCTAAAATATTTTTTAAAAGAAATTTAAGACTAGGAAAAATAGCAGTGAAGGTAAAAAATCAAACTAGTGAATAGGCCAACCTTAACGCCCACCATGGTTGATATAGTTGAACACAGATTTTGCCTATGAGCTTCCTGGCAATCCAAAGAAAGTAAAGCTTTCCATTGTACTAAATTCCAAAGTAAATCTCACTCATGGAAGTTTATATAATACAATAATTAATAAATAATAACACAAGAATAAACTCTGTTTCACATACTCACAGCTGTAAACTTAGTTTTACCCACCTCTGTATGAAAAGTGCTTAATGTCCTGCCTAGTATAAAATGTGATAAGTAGTTGTCGTTATTAGTAATCATAGATTGTTCATCATAGCATCAAAATAGTAATCATATAGAAAATTATTTCATTGACTTTCATCTCTAAGCAGCACTGTGTAGTTGTTAAATAATGTTCTTAGAGAATATTTAAGATACAAAAAAAATGCTCATGATGTAACATTTAGTAAAAGGGCAGGATAAAAATCTATATACTCTGATGTCAATTAATTATACTTAAATTATGTTATGAAATATTATATTTTGAAAATAGTTTTTAAATGTTTTAGAAACATTTCCTAAGAAAACTGGAAAAGATAATACCATAAGAATGGACTCACTGTTAGTAATTCTTAAAAGTAGGTGATAGGTATAAGGGGGTTTATTATGTCAATATTATTCTATTTCTACCTTTTTTTATTTTTCATAATCATTTTTAAAAGGAATGACAGAAATATATAATTTAAATTCCTGTAATGAATATTTTATATTTGATCAGTTATGTTATTAAGCTATCACTAATACATTTTTAAGGGTTTTTGAACATTTAGGAGAAGGATATATCAAACTTGTGAGAAGTTTGATAAAAATTATAATATATGTAAATGTGTGGAATAACCTTTAACAAAAAAGAAAAGATGGTACAGTCAGTAATGGAATTAGTAGTGAGTTTTATCCTTTTTATACTTCTGTACATCTAAAAATTATACAATAAGTTGTAATCAATTTTTTATGAAATTATGCTGATAACTTTTATGATTAAATGACCTTATTCTAGTATTGAGAGCACTCTTGATAGTTGCTTCTGAGATTTGCCTTTAGACATGCTATTTTATTATTCTCTAAAACAGTTTTGGTGAAAGATGCATTGTGTTTGAACATCTGTCCAGAAAAAAGCTAATTCCTTGAAAAGTGTTACAAGGACCATTTCCACTACTGCATTCCCATAAATTTTATTTCCTTTTTAAAACAGTGTAACTTTTCAGTATAGCCAATGTTCATATAGGCAACTTTATCTTCATGGAAGGGAAGGGTGTCAAGAATATTTTGGCAGAGTTCTCCTTTATTAGGCAAAAATAAGACTAAAAGGAAATGAGTAACTATTTCTTTCTGCCTCTATAACTGAAACAATATTCTAATTTATAGGTGAATTTTATTTGTAGCAAATAAATCCCTATATAATCCTTAAGTTTATCTTGCAGGTGGCCTTCTAAAATAAACTTTATTTGATTTTATACACTGTGCTCACACTTTGGCTTTATGCCTGACCTCCCAGGTTGCAAACATCTACAGTAGGACCAAATATTTTTTAAAAATAAGCTAGAAAAAAAACCTGTAAAATATTACAGATGTGAATAATAAATTACTCAGTAACATTCACAACGGAGCAATAATAAATTCTAATATTAATAGTGGGGGTCCTTAAAATGGCCCTGCTAGTCACTAAGACATTTAATCTTTCCCATATTCTAAATGAAATACATTATTGTTCTCTACTCTTACAAAAGATAGGTGTTAGGGATAATGTATTTATTCATTTGACTGGTTCTAATAATACAGGACTTAAAAATAAAGGCAAAGCACCTGTATGCATAGTATCAACTAGCACCAAATCCTTACTATATATAAGAAAATTATCTATTTTAGAAGTCAGTTATGTCCTTAAAAAATAGATCCATCTAAAATAGAATATGCTTAAGGCAAAATGACTAATTCTGACAAATTTTAAAGTTCAGAAAAAATGTAACTTAGAAGTGTATGGGGATAGAGTATTGGATTAAGCAAGAAAATGGAAGAAAAGAAAAAGCAGAGGAGGAAAAAATAAGGAGGGTGGGAGGCATTGCAAGCAAGGAGCATACATTCCAGGACTGAAGTAGAAATATAAGAGAATATTGAGGAAACCATGTTGGCTTAGATGGTTTATAGAAATAGTAGTTTTCACATTATGTCCTGATGACCACCCCCCCTACACACACACACACACACACACACAGGGCTCATCGGCAAGAGGGTGAGAAGGCCAGCTATTCAAGTCCTTAAAGCAAGGCAGCGTTGCAGGTATATTAGGAAGATTGATCTCACGTGGAGCCAGAGGCATGTGTTGGGAAACTAGTCAGTAAGTCAGAGGAGATGACATGACCAGGCCTAAGTGTATTATTAGCCACTAGTTTTGAAACTCCAAGAGAATGGCTGGATGCGTGAACTTTCACCCAGGAAAACCAACAGGACAGGGTTACTGATTGGATGGATGTCATAGCAGGGGAAAGAGGAGCCCAGAAGCCATCCAGTGATAGAAAGGAAGAATCTCGGCTTGATCTTAAAGTCAGTGGTACTAGCATATATGGGAATATGGAAGATAATATGTTCATTGTATTAATTCTAAAGGAAATACAAAGTGGATTGAAATGATTAACATAAATATGTAAACTATAACCATGATGGCCTACTATGGGACTCACCTGTGGCAGCTGTGAGGCTGAACACATAGCAGGAGCTCTGTTCTTGTTCACCCTGGTTTTCTTAGAAGTCACTAAGCTGGAAAGCCTCTGCGCCTTGTGGGGGCTGCCCCTGTGTTAAATTAAAGGCCTTAGGCCCTGTGGCTCAGCTAAAAATCCCATTATCCAGAATCTGGGGATTAGCTTCTGGTGAAGCAGATTCAGAGAGCAGTATTGTTAGGTAAAGCAGAGACTGTTACTGATAGGGCTGCCAGTTTGGTAGGAGTAAAACCCTTAGGAAGAGAAGACTTGGTATACATTTGACCTGGGAGCATCAGCCCAAAACAAAGGGTTCAGCTTTGTGATGAGAAAGTTACCAGGGATGTACTGCCCCTCACCAAAGTAAAATAAATATACTTATAAACAACTAATAATTTGAGATGCAGGTATACATTTGCTCTCAGTATAAGGAAGACTTATTTAATATAAATGCAAACACTTATTTCATATAAAAGTTCATAAGTATACAATATGTGGTCTGGGCTGAACTCTGCGTCCTTGTCGCCCCAAAAATTCACATTCAATTCCTAATCCTCATTAGGTTAGAATGTGACTAGAGATCGGTTATTTAAAGGAGCAATTAAGTTAAAACTAGGTCCTTAGAGTGGGCCTTAATCCAATATGACTGGTATTCTTACAAGAGGAAGAGATTTGGACACACAGAGAGTCCAAGAGATGACCATGTGAGGACACAGCGAGAAAACAGCCATTTTCAGTCAAGGAGAGAGGCCTCAGAAGAAGCCAACGCCTTGATCTTGGACTTCTCATCTCCAGAATTATGAGAAAATAAATATCAGCCTGTGATATTTTATTATGGCAGCCCTAGCAAACATGATATAATTATACTTCAGGAAACCTCATAAACAAAATAAAAAGATTCAGTAACCTAGAAAAATGTTGGTTAACATATAAGATAGAGAAGGGCCTAGCATCAATTATGCTCTACTAATAATGAACATATCAAGCACCCAAATCTTGGTCTTAGATACCATCTTCCAATAAAAGAAACCGAGGACTCTTGGAGAAATAGCTGATTCTAAGAGTGAGGCAGGAAGTACACAGTGGGAACCTGGTACATGATGTAGTGCCAGGAAGCAACAAAATGCTTAAAAAACAAAACAACAAAAATAGCCCTCACAATTATAGAGCTGTGTTAGAGGGGCATAGAAACCAGCTAAAGATTTCACAACGTTCAAGACTTTCAGCAACAAAATAAAGTATTATTGGCTTAGAAACCAAGTGTAAAATAAACACATGAGTTCATAGTGATACAAATAAATCATTGAATAAATAAATCTCGGGGAGTATAGACAAACCTCCAGTGCAGAAGAATTCCAAATAATTTATATAGATCCTGCACCCTCAAGGTGGAGCATAACTCCCCACTAAAGTTTGGCCTGTGCATAGTAACTTCCTTCTAAAGAGTACAGCATGGAAAAGGGGGGAAGGGAGTAGCTTTGCAGTGGCCAATCCAACAAGCAGCACTACCTCAGCCTGGTGGTCAAGGTTAACATCAAGAGGAGTAATAAGTCATGTTGACAGCATGTGTCCTTAATATATTACAAGGAAGCCGTGCTTGACCTCTGTGGTCTTCCTCCTCTCAACCCATACCTCAGACTAATCATGAGGAAAACATCAAATTCCAGTAGAGGGGCCTCCTATAATTCACCTGACCAATACTCCTTTAAGCTGGCAAAGGCCATTTCCCAAGAAAACTCTGAGACATTGTTACAGCCAAGAAGAGCTAAAGAAAAAGAGGACATATGAAATATTTTCAACAATAAAGTTTTTTGTTTTTGTTTTTTTTTAAAGAAGAAGAGCTAAGGAGGCAAGAAACAGTTTTATATGCAATTCTGAGTGGAATCCCTGGACACATTTACACTGTCGTGTCTTTTCCTTGTACTTTCTACTTTTCTGTTAGTTGATATTTTCATGAGCTGTTGAAAGCATTGTTTGATTAATTTTCTCATACTTTTTACTTGTAGGTTGGTGTTTGGAATGCTGTATCCTGCATATTATTCATACAAAGCTGTGAAATCGAAAAATGTGAAGGAATATGTAAGTGGTTAAATTTATTTTAATGTAGCCATTATATACAAGACTAGAAAAATCATTATTATTTTAGAAATGGCTGGCATAATGTTTTGGGTTAAAAATGTGATATAAATGTGGAGAACTGGGGAGGTTTTTGGGGGGAGGACTGTAAGAGATCAACCGAAGGACTTGTATGCATGCATATAAACATAACCAATGGATACAAGATACTGGGGGGGAAGGGGGGTAGGTGAAGGCATATGGGAGGGACCGGGGGGGATAGGAGAGACTGGTGGGAGGTCAAGGGTGAAAAAGGAGACATATGTACTACTATTTGTAATGCTTCAAACAATAAAAAAATGTGGAGCACTGAAAATTAGTCTGTTTTTAAACTAATTTTCAGTGGAATTCTAAAGTAGGGTATAAAAAATAGTGCACTGTCAATTGGCATTTAAATAAATTTGATTCCCAAATGAATAATTGCATGTCTCTTACTCACTTAGTCCGTAAGTTCCAGTATAATCAAGCGGTTGGGGGACTGTCTTATTTTTTTAGCCTTATAAATTTATAGGTACACTGAGAATACTAGTATATTTCTTCAGCCTCAGAACCTTTTCCTTCTTTCACAGGTGTACTGTTACTTTCTAATTGATTTAAAAATGCAGATACCTCATCATTACTGACAACTGTAATCACCAGTTTGCTTGCTATTTGTATAGACTTAACTATTCTGGATATTCTATATTTATGGAATCATATGTGACCTTTTGTGTCTCGCTTCTCTCAGCCTGTTTTCAAGATTCATCCACATTATAGCATGCATGTATTAGTATTTTATTCATTTTATGGCTGAATAATATTCCACTGTATGTATATACAACATTGTTTCTCCATTCATCCATTGATGGACATCTGTATTATTTTTACCTTTTGTCTATTATAAATAGTGTCACTACTAAGTTCTTACATTTATATAATTCCCTACCAATTTCAAAATTAACACAAATTCATTTTCTTACAGTCCTGTGTAGATCAGAAATCTAAAATGGATCAACAGGGCTACATTCCTCCCGGAGACTCTGGTGGAAAATCTGTTTACTTACCTTTTCAAGCTTCTACAGGCTGCCCACATTCTTTGGCTTCAGGCTCTATTCCTCCATCATCAAAGTGAGAAACGTTGAGCTGAGACCTCAAGCTGTAATTCTCTGGTTCTCTCTTCTGCCTCCCTTTTCCACTTATAAAGACTCTGGTGATTACAGTGGGCTCACCTGAGTAAACTAAGATCCTTTCCCCAACTCAAATTCACCTGATTAGCAACCTGAATTGCATCAGCAACAGAATTCTCCTTTACATGTAATCTATCATAGTCACACATTTCAGAACAGTGCGCAATATAGGGTAGGCATTTAATATTTGAATGAGAGTAGAATTTTAAGTCTATATCAAACACTAAATTGTGTTTACAAGAGCATGTATACTTCTTAAGTAGATTGGTCTAGTTTCTCAGCTTTGCTGCTGGGGTAAGGAGCATACATTCTAGTCCCACTTGTCCCAAAGCCCACTTTCTTTGAGGTATTTGGTTATTAACCTAAATTACACTGATGTCTGCTTCAAAATTCTTTTCAGAAAGCAACATTTTTTATTAATTTACTTTTTCCCACCGTAACTACTACCATTCCCTGTAATCCTTCAAATAGTAGATTGCACCTGATAAAACAGATGGCTGTGTTCAAATCAAAACACATGGAAAGTGCTGTATATTTTGGCAGCCTTCCTTTCTTCCTTTGCCTATTTTTAAAAGAGAGCTTTCCTAGGATATAATTTCCTGTGTAGTGTGGCTGATATGGCCTACTTAAGGTCTTTCAGTCTTGCAGTAATTGAAATGTAAACTTACTGAAGAATTAGTATGGTTTTGCAAATTTTTTCAAGCTTATACCATTTCATGACTTGAAAATAGTGTGTTTACTTCCAAGTGGTGTGTAATTGCTGTAGCTTTTCTAGGAAACCAGTGTTTTTATTCTAAGAATGTTGAAGAAAGTGGCAATGAAAAGATTGTCTAACAGCACATAAAAATCAAAATCAGACATTTGGTCCTGAGACTTACTGTGAGCAAGAACAAAGAACGGGGAAAACTTGGGAGATTACTCCTTTAAAGGGCTAGAAATGGCCCTCAAAACCCTTTTGACTTGGGTTTTGAAAGTGACCTGATTTTTGGCTGAATATTTGGGTGATATGAAAATGAACAGACATACCACATACTGGTTCTTACCAATTATTAAAATCTGAAGTTCCTTACAATTTTAAGGTGGAGGACAAAACACAATGAAGAACTTCTCTTTATTGTCAAAAAAATGTTCCTTAGAAATCTTTTCACATTTGGAATTAAAAATAGTTACTTGGTTCAAGGATTGTAATAATGTAGGTATTGTAAAGATTAACCCACTGCTTAAGGTGGAATTTAAATTTTTTTATTTTTGAAAATTGGTTTTGTCAGGCCACATACTTATCTGTTAATTTTCCATTCAGATATTCTTAGATTTTATTTATTTTAAGGTTGTATTTCTTTATAATTTTAAAATCAAAGATTTTTCAAGGCTTATTGTGAAAAACAGCAGTTTCCTACCCTCTCCTCATCTCCAGTGACAACTACTTCCAACTCTTTTATCTGAGTCCTTTAGTGTATGTATTCCCATATCTAATTGACATGAGTCCTTTAGTGTATGTATTCCCATATCTAATTGACATGCATATACTTTTTTAGTTTTTCACGTGTACATCATCACTTGCCTTCCTTCTAATAAAGATGACTTAGTTGCTTTATTCTGGTGGGGGCTCTAACTATTCAATTTATAAACTTTTACTTGGTTCCTATTAGCCCTACTCTAAACTGCTAGAGATTTGCAAATCCAGAGAACCTTTGTTTCACTCTTTTCTGAGAATAAGCCTCAGAGTTGGGCTGCGGGAAAGAGTGATCCCATCAGGCAGCTAAAATAGGAGGGCATCTAGGAGCCTACGTGTTCCTTAAGCAGACTGACAGCCATCTTTTCTTTTTTCTTTTTCTTTTTTTCTGACAGCCATTCTTTCTTTCTTTTGCCCTTTTTGGCCAAGAGTTGTACCACCAATTCTTAAACCTTTTTTGGGAGTTTTGCAATGAAAGTTAGATTTGCAGTTTTCCCCACTGTTGGCTAATAGTCAGTTTTCTCAGGCTAATATTTAGTTTTCTCAGGCCTCCTAGATCATTTCCTGCTCATCCATTTCCTTCCTAGCTCCACAAACTTGATGTTCTCTTCTATATCCTTCTGAACTTGGGTCTTTTAAAAATACCAGTTTACTGTTGTTCTCATGAGATTTGTGGTGGGGATGCAGTTAAATATTAAATTCAGTCTACCATCTTCACCTAGATTTCCAAATTGACCTTGTTAGTGAGATACTTTGGTTGAATTATTCTGTGACACTAAGTAAGACTTATTTTATCATTAGCATTGATTTTAAATAAGAGATAGGTTTAATGGTAATTTATATCATTTTTCAATCTTTGACAATAATCTCTAATTTTCATTTTAGCTGACAATGAATACATGTGTATCTTGTCTTGAGTTATAGTTGTTTGTAAATCAGGTTTTGATTTTAAAAATCACAATTTTCATTTTGAACAGTAAATAAAATTATTTGGAACAGTTCATTATCCTTTAATGAAGTAAATGTCCTTATATTTACTTAAAGTGAGTGATGAATATTCTTTGTAAGCTTAATTTTTGATGTATCAGGTTTACTTATTTTATATGTAATAAATATCAGTATGTAACTTAGCTGCTGAAATAATTGATATTGTTAGTATCAAGTGAGATACTCTACCTTATGTTTTATAAGCACAATTTCTTCATGAACATCTCAGGATCATTAGTTACATTGGATCCACTTTAGAAAACAAGTATTATACTTGAATAAGGCTGTAGAATTGGGGAGCTTTAAATGAATGCTCAACACAATCTCTTCCATAACTTTAGCATGTGAATTAGCGTACCCCTTTGCCTTCATAAAGTAAATTGAAAACATCCTCACAATTTTCATGCCAAGATGTAGCTGACCAAACACAGCTGTCTTGACCTTTTCTAGCTTCCAGGGCAAGTACTTTGGAAAACAGACATAAAGGAAAAAAAAATTCTCACGGTAACATTTAAACCTAGGAGGCTAAGTCAGGCATTTGCTAATATCTAGGAAAAATTTTACCAACTATCGTGCCAATGGAAATAGATTGTTAAAAAACAGGGACAGAAACCGTTGTTTCCATGAAAGGAAATGTTGTTAAGTAATAAATTGGAGGGAGGCCTAGCCACCTCCACCCTAATCCCTAGTGATGGAACAGCTTAAAATCATAAAAGCTACAGCAACCGAAAAACTCAGCTGCCACCACCCTCTCCGCAGGGAGAACTGTGTTCCGAGGCAGCCAGTGTCCTGCCTCCCCCTGATCTGTTCAGAAATAACCACAAACTCGCTATTTTGAAGAAAACCCCTAATAAGTTCCAAAAGGGAGAAATAATAATTGAATACAAGAGAAAATATAAAAATTCAATACCAAATGAATTAAAAAATTAAAATGGCAGTGGTATATTTAGATTCTTGAATATGAATCTAATATTGAGTGGATTCTTAAGTATGATAGATTTATAAGCCTTTATTTTGAAAAGGAAGTGAAAAATGAAACATTAAACTCACAAAGCAAGAAAAACATAAAAATTAACAGGAATTTGTAAAGAAAAGTAGGGTGAATAAAAAGGCAGAGATAAAAATATAAACAAAATTGGGAGAATTATAGTATTTAAAAGGTGTTCCCCTTGAACACGTCTAATAAGATAAAAGCTTGAAATAGCTGAAATAGAGAGAAGAGTAGAAAAAAGGTCTGACAGAGGTGAAACCAGAGTGAGTTAAGCAAACAATGATAAATTTGACAGTAAACACTAGACTACCTAATTTTTTAAAATTTAAAAATAGAATGTTTTATAATAATAAAAAGCAGAGCAGAT